CACTCATGATATTATCAAATCTACTATAATGAGCCTATCCAAAAACAAGTCTCCAGGCCCAGATGATCTGACTTATGAATTCTACAAGTCTGCCTTACCACATATTATTGACTCTCTTTTTTCTCTTTTCAACTCAATTCTTTTTAATGGCATAGTTTCTAGTTCATGAACCAGGTCACTTATTACTCTCATATCAAAAAAAGATAACAACAAAACTCTGGTTCAGAATTGGAGACCTATTGCTCTAATCAATACTGATGCAAAGATCTTCCTCAAGATTTTAGCGGGATGGTTAGCCAAAGTTGCAGATCTTCATCTTCTACATCATCAAAAAGGCTTCCTTCCTGAAAGAAAAACTATTGATGCCACCTTAAACATCTTAATAGCCACTGAGGTTCTCAAATCCTACACCAACACCCCCACATACCTACTTCAACTAGATAAACAGAAGGCTTTTGACAGAGTAAATCATCAGTATCTTTCAAAAGTCTTAGAACACTTTGGTCTTCCATCTGTCTTTATTCAACTAGTTAATAATATCTTTGGACAATAATCAGCCAACATCACTAATAATAAATATTTATCCAATGAATTCAGACTAGAAAGAGGAGTCCGGCAGGGTGATCTGCTTTCCCCTATTTTATTTGCTCTCTTAATAGAATCACTTCTTGCAACTCTGTCCTCCTCTCTCTATCAAATTAACAGTCATCTCGACAATAATCAGGCCTATGCAGATGACACAACTATTCTAGCTCTGAGCAATTTACATTTAGACTTTATTTGCGATACAATCAAGAAATACGAAAGAGCCTCTAATGCAAGAGCCAATCTCAATAAATCAGTTCTTATCCCACTAAATGATCTTGCCAGAGCCAACATACATTCCTTACAAAATAAATATTAGTTTACTATTCCTAATCATAATGCTAATATCAACATCCTGGGCTTTCACTTCAATACCAACCTTACAATGCATCATTCCACCTGGCCTATGCTGATCAAGAAACTTGAAAAAAAACTCTCTCTTTTGAAAATTAGAGATATCTCCCTCAAAGGCCGTGCCTTAATAGCAGGCTCTCTACTGGCTTCCAAAATCTGGTACACGTCCTACATTTTTCCTCCCTTAATGCAACAAGTAGACACTATACAATCTTTATTAAACAGATAGGCCAGAGGTGATTCTAAATCCCTCCCCTCTTCTGCTATCATTCAACTTCCAAAAAACAAAGGTGACTGGAATCTTTCTAACGTCAAGTCTGCCATCAAAGCTCGGTCAGCTATGACAACTGCCAAACTTTTTCATGCCAAAGAAAATTGGGCCAAACACCAACTTTCTATGATCAACTCTTTCCAAAGCAACTTCATCAAAATTCATCTTCAATACCAAAAGAAAGACTGGCCAACAGCCTACTGACCCTTTGTAAAAAATTAGTTTCTGGCGGGTAGACTGAATTTCCTTGCTTCCTCTACCTCCCTCATCACTACCAAGTTAAAAAAAGAAATATATTTCAAAAAAGTGTGACCGGTAGTTAAAAATGTGCTATGAAAAAACCTGGGCACAATTAACCTTCCTTCACAGACTCACGTGAACGCATGGAGATGGCATCATAGTGCACTATCCCTGAAGGAACAGGTTTTCTGGTCTTTCTCCATCGACTCTATCTTCTGTCGGTGGTGCCCTATGTCTCTTCAAACGCACCAACACTTTCTCTAAGAATGCTCATTCACCAAGATGATTATACAAGAAATCGTATGTCATCTTGACGGACGCATCACCTTTATCCATATCCTAAATCAACATCCTAATAACTTCTCTCTCGCTACTCTCTGGCTCTCCTCCTGGCTTATCGATTATGTTTGGCGAGCTTCTGCTAGACTCAACCTCAATACCAAAGAGTCCGAAACTCAAATCATAAAAGCAGCTCCGCACATTCTCCTCAGAGATGCAAAAATTCACCTAGATAGTTCCCAAAACAATAAATTTACCAAACAAATAGACCTACTATGTAAATCACTTGTACCTTAATTCTATATCGTGCATTTATTCAATAAATGGGTTCTTGCTTCACCCTCCCTTTTTGGGAAAAAAAAAAAAAAAAAAAAAAAAAAAATAAAAGAAATATAATTTTCAAAGTGTAAATATGATATTCGGACTACTCTAAAGCACAATGACCTTACTTTGAAATAAGTTAGTAGGGATCAAGCTACAAATAAATACAGCCATCGTTATAGGTAACAGACCCCTATAGCTTTTCAAAAATCATGTACATGTATAATGTTATGAAACTTTCCGAATACATGTACAAAGAGCAATACAAATACTGATATAGGGGTGATAAACTTATCGTTATATCAGGTATTGGGATGTCTACTTTGCAAATACATTGAATCGCCACTTTATAATGCAATATCTTGATGTTCAGTGATCCAATTCAAGCAAATATTATTGCCATATGTTATCGAAACAATTAAACAGTAGATTATTTAATCATCACAGATGATCGAATGCTATATTTCTTGAATAGAGATGAATAAATAGTAGTATTTAAATTAACATCAGATAATAGATATCGAGGTATTGCATCATAAAGTGAACGATTCATTTTTGTTGATATCAAAAAATTAATCGATCACTTTAGAACGCAATATCTAGACGTTCAGTGACCAGTTTCGATCAAAAATATTACCATTCGATTCGTCTAGTTAAGACTAATCAAATATTTTTGTTCGAAACTGATGTGTGTCAAGAATTGGCATCAAGTTATAAAGTGACCGATTATATTTGAGACTGGGAGTTTTGGTGAACATCCAATGGTTAATATAGAAGTTTTACCAACCTATGAAAAATATAGTTGATCAGTATTTGTGTGTTGCTCTTTGTGCTCGGAAGTTTCATAACATTACACATATTTATGCAAATGATCCGTGTAATTATGAAAATTGAAAAATTAAGTGACATGAACATGTTCATGTTGTGTAATATTAGTACATGTATACAAGTACATGTCATATTGAATAAATAGCCACATATCTTGTGAACATATAATACATGTAATTGAATCTCAAAGAAACTGTGTGAAAATATCAATTTTCTTAGTTTTCACCAGAGTAATTCATGAATAATCCCTTTGAAACCTCAATATCTCGAGATCCAATGGTGAGAATTGAGTATAAAACTCACTTCAAAATTTAGAGAATTGAATGACATGTTTAAACTCTGTTTTCATTACTAGGTCTCAAGAGTTTGTGTCACAAAAAAAAGTACATTTAATTTTGGTGAACGATCTCTTTAGAGCTCAATATTTCGAGATCCAGTGGTGTAAATCGAGTTAGTGCACGCTATCCGATTTCCTAAGTTAGGGTGAATCGAATGGTGTGATTTACAACCAATGCCTTTCACTGTCTCTCGGTAAAAACGAAAAATTGATAGTTTTTATATTCCTGTCATGTAATATATTAATTACATGATTACGAGAGGCATTAAAAAAAATTGGTATCGAAATACCAGCTCCCTAAAAAATAATACATGTAGAACATACAAACCAATTAGCGCATTTAGCAAATTTGCACATTTAGAACATTATCTTATTCATTTTATTATCAACGACAATAAAATTTTATTCGACTTTTTCTTTTTTGACATAATAATAAAAATTTTTAGCTTTAGTTCATTGTCTTAAAACATAAACTTAAATATGCATCCAAAATTAATGTATATACATATATAAGCATGCTCTATAGTTTTAATAAAGTACTAGTTAAAATTATGATAAATTTCAAGTAACTGTAAATAACATTGCATTGTCTTTGTTTATATTATCAATTTCAGATTAATGCTTTTACCAGAAGAAAGCCAGTGTTTTTACTCGATTTCCCTGTTGATAATAGCCCAGTTATATTCGTCCATTTCGTAAGAGTTCGAGCAATATTACACCTCATGACTTTTGTAAAAATCTGTCTTTAATCGTTATAATGAACACAATTATAGACTTTTTATAATCAATCACCTTTATATGTGGCATAATCCTCTTTGCCTTCTTAAAATGCTTCTAAATCAACTTTATAATCAACACTCGCTTAACATCAACAGAACTATAGTTACCGGCACAATTCCTTTAGAAACCCAATTAGAGAATTCCCCCTACCTAAAAAACTTCTGTTTAATCTTCCTCAGTATGTTAGCTCTATACAATTCGAGTTTCAATAGATAGATCAACAATATCTAATGCTTATAATATCAATCTAAGGCGCTAATATCAATTGCATTTATCAGACGTGCTGTGTTAACTAGTGATGGGAGCCGCAACTAGCCGCAACTAGCCGCAACTCTGTCGCAATTCTCTGATTGGCTGTCGCAAGCCGTAACTAGTTGAGGAGCCATCTTTAGTGTTAACACTTGTCGCTTATTAAGTATCGAAAAATTAAATTGTACTATCTAGACTAGTCAAAAACACGGCCAGACTAATCCAACAAAAAATGTAATGTCCTTACAGTTAATTTGACGAAATCAAGGTCTATTTGCTTTTTCATGTTGTAGACGTAGAAACTGTCTATTGACATTGATTACATGTATAGATTATATGTTAAGTAAGATCGAATGAATCTCTGATAAATGTTGTTTGTTTTTGCCACCATCTTAGAGAATTCAACAGTATACAGATCAGAGTAGATTACACGTGTTTAAACTTTATTTTCATTATCCTTTACTTTATAATAACAGTATTATACATTGATCTGGTACGAAATTCCGAAGAACACAATCCGAAGTTCATATGCCCGACAAACGAAATCCCGAGAAAATGCATCCAGAAAAATGACATACCGAATGATTGAATCCCGAATGCACGAAATAATTATTTTGATATTCCATGCTATACTTTCAGGATGCCGTATTTTAGTGATTTCGTTTATCAGGCTTATGAACTTCAAATTTTGAACATCACCGATTATATATACATGTACAATCAGACTATTTAAATACAACCATCTAAATACACGCTTTAATCTAGATCCAAAATATATGGAGTATTAAGTATTTTACCTCTGTATGCAATTTTTTCTCTAATGCATGTTATATCTAATTTTTCTGTTTCCTGAAGGCCTGCACTTAGAGAGGACTTATGTATACAAAAATAACTGTATAATTATGTACAGTTATATAAAAAAATAATTGTAAAAAAAGGAAAGGAGAATCCAATAGAAAATTTAAAATAACCAAAACTGGGTTATCTAATTCTTTAGCTATTACTATTTTAATATCATTTTGTATTTTGATGTTTCTCGCTGTATGTTTCGTTCCAGAGGAAATTATCTTCTCTTGAGGTGCAGAAAAATTCTAATGGTATTTATGGGCGCTTTCTTAGTATTGCTAATAAAATATATTCATTAAATAAATAATAAGACGAGGACCAGTTCTTGATATATAACTTACATTGAAATTCTTACGATCTCTTCTATCCACACCACCATCTCCTGGAGCCCATCTATTATCATTGCAAAAAATGAGTATTGTTTTCTCGTAATAAGAACGTTTATATTTATAAATACATATGGCACAATGTGCTTTCCTATTTCACCGCACTCATGACGTATCTGACAGACGAGAGGTATGAAACATTTACACAATATTTGGTACACATTGTGCTTAGAGATGGGCAAATGCGCGCATAGTTCATCACTATGCGCACTATGCGCACTATGCGCATAGTACGCATATGCGCATAGTATATACATGTAATACGCATAATGATCTACATGTACATATATAGTAATCAAATACGCGCGATGTGAATTCATAAAAACTAACGCTAATGATGATTTTATTTTCTATAACTATTATATACATTTATCAATAATTATCACTATCACTTGATATTTCTAATAT